AATTGCCTACACCGGACCTTGTAATCCTATCTACGGATTCAAAAAATTTAAATAGCCAAGTACGGAAATGGTTAAGCGAAAATAGGTGGGTATCAAGTCTTGTTTTTATACGTCTGTTTGCAAATTATTGAACACGATTTTTACAAATTGTTGCTATTCCGAATAGATCTTTTTATCTAAGATTTAATTATTATAAACTTTCTTTTTGCAGAGCATCTGTCCTTGCAGTAGACCCTCCCCCAGATGGAATTGATGATGTTTGCATAAAATATGCTATCTTACCGATATTACCTATAAATGGCATTTCATCTAAAAACTACGGAAAATTATATTTATGTAATTTAGGCATACCAGATAAATTTTATCGTGATGCTGGGATCAAATACAAAAGTCCCTTCGGCCACAAATTTGTGATACCAATACACTCAAAGGATTGAGGAGATATTATGAAACGAAATGTTCAAATAAATTTTTACGCATGGGAACAAATTTTAATATAAGAAAGGATATTCCATAGCCCAGCTGAGGATAAAATCTTTATCAGATAATTTGTTTAACTACCACCAAAAGCTGATTTGTTACTTAAGAGATTGACTTCTTGGTATTCTTTTCTTATAATCACCTAGTGATCACAAAGGAAATTTTTTGTTAGCTTCCAAAAATGTACATTTCAAATGTTATTTTAGTATTAAATTTACTTGACCACCATAGATTAATTAAGTAAGCAATATTCAAGCTTTTACATTTTTATTATATGCAACAATTAGCGGTCTTTATGTTTCTTTCAAAATTGTTAACTTCATGCAAACCTGTCAAATAAAATTGTCCACATTGTCTAACTTTTTTGTTTGTATTTATTGTGTTTTACTTGTGTATGTATGTCAAAGTAAAAAGCTTTTGTAGCATCAAAATACGTACATATATTACATTTTTTATTTTTGCACTTACTAATCATAAAAGCATACATTTAAATGTACATACATAAAAATTTAATATTTCCAAGCACATCGAATTCATCACGTTAAAAATTCTTCATACAACATTTCCTAATCTAATTCACTAAGAATTATTTTTCGTGACTCTGCATTTTGTGAAGCTTTGAATAAATTCCATTAAGTGCAATAAGTTGCTGGTGATTTCCGATTTCTACTATTTTACCATTTTTCAAAACGCAAATTACGTCAGCATTTTGAACAGTAGATAGGCGATGTGCTATAACTATACACGTTCGTCCAGTACATGCTACATCTAGAGCCTGTTGCACCAGTTGTTCGCTCTGCAAGTCTAAAGCAGATGTTGCTTCATCTAATAGCAAGATTTTGGGGTTCCGCACTAAAGCTCGAGCTATTGCAATCCGCTGCTTTTGACCACCAGATAGTTGAGTACCTCGTGCACCTAAGCGTGTGTCATATCCATTTGGTAGAGACACAATGAACGAATGTGCATTGGCGCACTTCGCGGCTGCTATTATTTCATCCATTGACACTTTGCGCGAAATATCACCATATGCGATGTTTTCAGCAATTGTACGCTCAAAGAGAGATGGCTCCTGTGAGACAAGTCCTAGTATTCTTCTCAAACCTTCGATTGATACATCCTTGTGAATGTCGTCGTCGTTCAATCTCTTAAATTATACATTCATATCATAAATATGTTAACATATACGTTTTAATTATATTTAATAACAAAGATAATGTATTATACTACAAACAAACAACAACTATGTTTATTGAAATATTTAATTTCACTACTAATGAAGTTCGTAATACTCCCAAGGCAACTTGGGTGAGTTTTGCCTTCAGTTTTTTTTTAGAAATTGATCTGAAATTTTGCCCACGTCCTTTTCTCCCCAAGAAGATGTTCTATATAAAGGGGTCAATCAAAGTGAGAGCTCAAATAGAGCTCTAGATTTTTCTATTTGCTGATATTTCTTCAAAAAAAAAAATTGCGCAGATTATTATTATTATGTAAGAAATTCGCCGTTTTTGAACAGCTGAAATTTAATTTGGATCACAAAAAGTAGTTGGTCGATGCAAGTCGTCGAATAACAACTCAATAGCTTACCGAAAGATTAAATTTGTTTATAACGATCGTTACACAAGTTACACAATAAAAAAAAAAAAATCTGGTTTAAATTACACTAAAAGCATTGAGAATTTGGTCGGTTAGGTTCAAGAAGTTCTTGCCGCATATACATACAGTGGTGGCCTTATAATTAGAAACGATATGCGAGACAAACTCAAATCACTGTATACTTTTTTTAAGACGCGCACTGTAAATTATAAGTCCCGTTATTCGTAGTGTCGACTATGAACTTTATTTGCTGATTGCTTTTTAAAAAAATTTAAAATTATTTCTCGGTTTTTGTTTCTTGGCACGTAATTAGAAACGGACAGTTCTTTATTTTGGTTCTCGGTTTTTTTTTTGAACTTAGTGATAAAATGAGCATACTTCAATTAAACAACGTGCAATTAAAAACGGTTTAATTATTAGAATGGGCAAAGTCATG